TCAATGCAAGCATCAATTTGGCCAATGATAGTATGTTATGAATTAAATTTGGTCAATGATAGTAGGTTATAAATTATATAGACTTAGACATGAATAAAAATTTTTATTATTTATGATCTAATTAATAAAATAAAAAAATAATAGTTACTTTAAGAGTTTAAAAAGGGATAATAATATAAAATCCAAATTAATTTTTAAATCCTAATTGTATATTTCTTTACATAAAGAAATTAAAAAATGAATATTTCATTATCTAAAAATCTGGTTCAATTTTCTCTAATTCATGTTGTAAATATTAATGTAAAAAATGTTTTTAAAGAAAAGAAACTGAATAACTAAAAATCAAGTTCAATTTTCTCTAATTCATGTTGTAAGTATTAATATAAAAATTATTTAATAAAAAATAAACTAAATAACTAAAAATCAGGTTCAATTTTCTTTAATTCATGTTGTAATAGACATAAGACAAGAATCAATTTTCTCTAATTCAATGTTCTGTAAATAAGCTGGACTGTTGGAGTGGAGGCTGGAGCACAATTGGAAGATCGGGACAAGGAAGACCAGCTTTCATTTTTCAGTCATCAATGTTCACAATTCACATACACAAAAACAAAAATAACAACAAAAGCCCCACAAATCACAAAACCCATGAAAATACAAAAATCTAAATCTATCAACTACTCAATTCTTCAACATTGAATACACCTTGAAGCTTGAACAAAAGGTAAATGACAACAAGTCAACAACTGCAAGAGACGACCGACGACTAGCAAAGAGGATGGCGATGACAGCAAAGGGTCGACAATGTCAATTGATGAGGACCAAGGAAGAAGCCAAGAAGATTGGCTTTAAAGGGAAAATAGGGTTGATTTGATGAGTGAATACAAAAATCGAGGAAGGGAAAAGAAGTTAAAGAAGACAAAAAGGGATTAAAGAGGTTAAAAATGAAATTTCACCCGTCCCCCTCTAATTTTTGGTCAGCTCGGGTGGGGAGGAAGTGTCGTTGGTGACTGTTAGTTAAAATTTTACTACGCAAGTTACGTATCGAATAGATAGTATATTAGCAAGCAGAGTATCGATCTCACAGGGAATTGATCTAAAATTTTACTAAGTACTAAAATTAGAACAATTTAGTTTTATTCAAATAATTAAAATCTGAATTCTAATTGAACTAAAAATTACGCAACTAAAACTAATTTAATTACAAAATTAAAGCAACAAGATAATTGGACAAACAGCAAATCAAACAAGCCTAGGATTACAATATCCCTCACACTTCATCTAAATCTTACCTCTCTTTCTTAACTTATTTCAATGGGTTGAATTGCTAACCTAGAGTCCTAAATTATTTATAAGGGTCTCCCGACTCATCTTATAAAAATATCTATTTTAACTAAAACACTATATCCCTATGTGAATTGAAATTAAAATAGACTCATTAAGTTCAGGTTCTAATCTGGCTACATATGGCCTATAGGTATATCCCTATCCTATACGCAAATCAATTAATATGATCATATGCTATCCCAATTTTAGTCTACACTAAACTCCCTTTCCCAAGTTTGTTTAGGTTCCTAGATCAATTTAATTGGTGGCCATGCAATTAAAAGCATTAAGCACAAATCGAAATAAACAATTCGAATCTCATTAAAGATAAGTAAGAAAGAGATTAAAAGTTAGATTACATGTGAGTTCAATTGCAATCCTAGAAATATAATTTAGATCATAGTATCTAATAAAAAAAATCCAAAAAAATTTAACCATGAATCCAAGTCAAAGAAAATAAGAAAAACACAAAAGTAAAGAGAGAAAACTAATAGTTAGAGTTTTGTGATCTTGATTCTCCCTCCAATTCTTTTGTTTTCTTGGTTTTTTTTCTTGGCTTCAAATCTTCAAAATAGTTGCTTGCTGCCTCCTCCTCAAAATCTCTGAAAAATGCTCCTTAAATAGGCTCCAAATAACCTAATTTTTGAAATCTCGTTAATTTCCCTTATTTTTGGGAGAGTCATGCAGCACTACGGCATTACTTCTCCAGTGCTGCAGCGCTGAGCTCTCTGGAAATTAGTATGTGTGCTTCATTTCATCAACGCTGCAGCCTTGTTCTCCCAGTGCTGTGGCAGTCTATCAATTTTAAACATGAGTTTCACCCTGTTATGTTAGGAATTGGGCAAAGTAGTAAACATAAAAGGTTTATCTC